ACACCCACACACACCACACCACAACACACACACACACACACAACACACACCACACACACACACACACACACACACCACACACACACACACACACACACCAACACACAAAACACACACCACACACACACCACACACACACACACACCACACACACACACACACACACACACACACACACACCACACACACCACACACAACACACACACACACACACACACACACACACACACACACACACACACACACACACACACACACACACACACACACACTTTTTTTCTATTGCTTCTGAATTGTAGAGATCCTTGGTGCTTCAATCCCCTCATAGCACAGTGTAGGCAACAAACCAACCCTGGTTGAGGGGTGAGGGGGGGGGGGGGGGGTCACATTTTATAATTGATATAATATCAGGGACCCCTAAGCTCCTAAAACACATGGTGAAACATTTTTTTCCTCCCAAAATAAAAAGTCATGCCATAGAGGGTTAAGAAATGGTGTTTCTCCAGGATGGTACAGTGGAGGTATGAATGTGGCTTTCTGTCAAACACCTGGATAGCTCTCTTGAACAGCTGTTCTATGGGGTTCAGGTTTGTGGCTCAAGCAAACGACCAGTTTGTCAAACAGTATTCAATGTGGGATAGAATCACACAGTGGAGGTGTGACTTTGCAGCTTTGACAATTAAAGGTGGGGTAGGTAATGTTGGAGAAAGCAGCTCGAGTGCGCTAGAATTTGAAACTACACAACTCGAAAACAATCTGCACTTCCTTACAGAGCCCCTCCCCCAACACACAGGAACGCGCACATGACCAATGAGGGCACGAGATAAGTTTGTGCCCAGATGGAGGGCTGACAGTCAGGTAGGTATCCAGTTACTTTCTCCGGCCGGCTCAATGATTGGTCGTGCTTTTTTACAGCGCCACAGCTTCCACAGATGATTTTTTGTATGTATTTATTGACTCAAAGTATTTCATGTATTCATTGCTATCGGGACTGTTAAGAGCATTCCATGGAATATAACAAGTGTTTCTGAAGTGAATTACCTACCCCCACCTTTAAGAAGGGTCTAACTTTGTTAAACATTTTGCAATTTGAATTTAATGGTATTCGATACTTTCTTGATATGTTTCTTAAAAGTTAAGCTCGAGTCCAAGATAATAATAATACTCCTTTATAAGTTACATCTCCTTCATTTAAAATGTTACTGTAGTAAAGCGGAAATCCCACAGTTTGGAAATGCATATAAATACTCATTTCAAATCTTGCTGACGAAAAGTACTATAAAAAACGTGGTACAAATACCAGTAAGAGTATTTGTACACTGCTATATATTGCATTACAGTGCACTTGCAGTCCTGCCATGTGTTCATGTACTCCATGCAGAAGGAGAAATGTATGAGTAAAGCTTTGCTATTTACTGAATGACGCTTCTATAAGATCACTGCATGTAATCAAATACTGTAATTCAATCCAGAATATAATTCACTGCTTATAAATACTGTAATATCAGATATAGGTTACTGAGGTTTTAGTGCATTTCTAACAGGTATGAAAACAAACTGTGTCCAATGTTAAAATGAAATATAACACAATGTATTCTTTACTTGGCGTCATGAAGGAAAAGACCCAAAATGAACCCTGTAAGCAGATTTCTTGATTACTGTAAAGAGCTATTGATTCGTCTCGGCTGTTTAATCACCAGAAGTGTTTCTCCTGGTTATTTATTGATGCTTTAATTAGTTGCTAAAAGAGAAGCTTATTTATATTATTAAATGTTCACTATATACTGCTGAGTACAGTAGCTTGGGAATTTCACCAAAGGACTCAATACGTCTTATCTTAATCTGTGATAACACGTTGTATTTTGTTATATTAACCAGCAAAGTACTCCAAATTGTATTTAAGTAAATTACATTACATGTCATTTGTTAGACGCTTTTATCCAGAGCGACTCATTTCAGTACTGTGGACAATCCCCACAGGAGCCATTTGGACACAAGCCCAGGGACACAACGACATGCTGACTGCAGTGGGACTCGAACTTGCTATCCCCTGATTCGAAGTCCAGCACACTTCCCACTGAGCCACAGCCTCCTTGTACCTACAAGTATTTAGGTACACTGGTGACTGCAGGCAACAGCTGACAATACAGATGTGTGGAAATACGCAGCTCTGTTAGACTTATAGGTGAAATGCTAAAGATCCATGAGGCCAACATGTGGATTTCATATCTTTTCAGAAGTCATTTTTCAGTGTAAATTGGGACATTTCTGTGCGTTTCTCCTGCAACCTCCTGGCCTCCTCCCTCTGCTGCGGGAACTAAATCACTTACTGACAAGACAACCATGATGCATGAGAAAACACATCCAGCTAATTGATGCTAGAAAACCCCAAATAAAAGCAAACATCGCCATTTGTGAGAATATAGCTGCGTCCTAATGGGTGTCATGATGACAGTATCGCCTCTGCACAGGATCATTCACCATCTTTACGCAGAAATACAAAACGTGTCTCAGTTTCACTCCCTGGGTGTTAAACATGTCGTGGACACGGTGTGCATCCCGGTGTAAACGGTGCATTTGGAGGATTAGACGGTGGGAATGCGATGTTAGGATGCATAATCTGTGCAAGCATCATCCTCAGCTCTGCAGCAGCATCCATGTTGGTTCCCGGCCTGCTCTTCCCCAGCCGAGGGGATGCATCCTCGGCTCTGATTTTCAGGACAAGGGGCTTCCTCTGGAGAAGATAATAAGAGATGCAGATGTGTTCCGCTCACCTTTCTGATGCTCTGAAGCTGAAACTCTGACGGTCCTCTGGGTTCGGTTTTCTCAGACTGGAGCGGAGACTATGGCTGCATCTCTGTGGCTCCACACACTACACAATCACACACACGCTACACGACTACACAATCACAGACAGCTGCAGCAGTACGCAGGCTCCACCCCCCCTCCAACCCAAAAAATACCCCATGGCGACCCGACGTGCGCGTAACCGAGAGGTGGGGGAGGATGCAGGATGCGCGCAGAGCAGAGACTGAGGAAATATAAAAGTGCAGAGACAGCAATGTTGGACTGAAATCTGCACCATCACACAACTGAGTTTAATGGAGATATTAAGACCACTTAACAAATCTGCACCATCACACATCTGAGTTTAATGGAGATATTAAGACCACTTAACAATTCATAAATAACGCATTGTGAGACCTTGAAGAAACTGTGAAATATGTACATCACCTTCTAAGATTAGATTTAGAAACCAGTACAATTATTTCTTAATCAATTTTAAAAGACCCTGGGATCCAATGCAATACTACTAATAGATACTAATAAATACTAATACACATCATAATAATATAATAAAAAGGATGCTGAGATTTTCAAAAAAGTAAAGTCAGACAGCATATTATTTTTACACAATAATTATTTATTTGTCTTCGTTTTATGAGATTTATTTTCATTACAAAATGTTTTTTTATACTAAATCACAATTCTGAGATTTAAAATAACAAATAACAATGTTTTTAAAAAACTGAATTCTGAGATTTTACAAAAATATACATTTATGTTTTTCAGAAAAAATTAATTTTAAGAGAAAAATATATATTTTTAGATCTGACCAAAGGTTTTCCTGCTATGTCGAAATACCTGCATGGAACATGCGTATTTGTTTTAGGCATAGGCCCAACGGAAGAGGATAAGGGCCACACGAGGAAAACAATACATTATTATAATCAGGAGAACAATTATTTCTGTGAAAAATATTAAAAAAATTCAGCAACATTTTTTTTTCTTTCATTAAATTAAATTATCTGAAATAAAACATAATTTTGTTTCTGAAAAAAACCATTATTTTAATTCGGAAAAAATAAATACTTTAAAAAATACTTTACTTTTCTCAGAATCCTGAGATTTTCCAAAAAAGGAATAATTTTCTTTTAAGAAAAAAAAGAATTCCGAGAAGAACATCTGAATTCTGAGATAATCAAAAACAAATATTCATCGGAAAATAAAATATGAATTGTGAGATTTTCCCAGAAATATTGATTTTTTCAAAAAATTCTAAAGACATTCAGTATTCTGACTTTTTTCTCGGAATTCTGAGATTTTCACAAAATATATGTATCTTTTTAGAAAAGAGATTTGAGGGGAAAAAATCAGGGAAAAAATGTATCTGAGAAAATGTTATTTAGTTAAGTCACACATCCCAAACATTGTTCTTATATATGGCTCTCATTTCCTCCCGTGCAGCTCCGTGACGTCACTACCTTAACAACCCTGAACATATCAAGAAAGAGACTTTTTGGTCATTTTCCTCAAGGTTTTTTTTTTTTTAAGTCAGAATTCTGAGATTTTCAAAAGAGAAAAATATAGTTTTTTCCAGCCGAAATGTCTCTAACATTCCTATGTGCTGTGTGTGTAGATAATATTAATGTATGTAGCACTATTCCCAAGATAGGAGTGTTATTTAATAACAAATATACACAGTTTTATCGCAGTTCGCTGCACTGACCAAACTGTTCCTCGGCAACCGTGACGTCACTCTCTTACCAATCGCAGAGCTCGCCGGAGTGCCGCTCCTCTCGCGAGATTATCACATTAGCTTGGTTAGTTAGCTAGCCGTGAAAAAACAGATTGCCTGGTTTCCCCGGCTATATGTTTACACTTTATTCTTCTTAAAAAGGCACTAGGAGGACTCTGCGCGTTTCTGCTGGGATTGTGTTTGAATATCGCCCGTAGGAAAGGATCATCTCCGTGTGTTGTACGGTGAGTTGGGAAAACGCGATGCTAAGTCACGTTAGCATTGGAGGAAATGGTTTGTTTTGGAACCTCTTAATTATTATTTTAAAAGCCAATTTACTGCAGAAATGTCGTCTTTTTATTTCCCTATTAATGTGGTGTTTTTCTCATTATCACATGTTGATATGTGTATCTGTATTTGTCTGTAAGGCTGTTGTTAGTGCAGATACAAGCTGTGACCGAGATGTGTCGGGCTTCGTTTGTTTTGATTTTGTTTCCTCTTTCCAGCAGCATTAACATATTTATTTTATTATCTTCTGTGCTTATTTACTTCACGTCTCTTTGTGCATATACTTCTATTTAATATATTTTTCTTTCATTCTACTCTCTAATTAAGTTACTGTTACCAAATCCAGTATTTAAGTTGAATGTAATAAAGCATTTCTGATTCAGATTTGAGGTGAAAACTAAGTTCATTTACTCAAGTACTGTGCCGAGGAACACATTTTGAGATACTTTTACTTTATTTGAGGGTTTACATTTGATGCTACTTTGTAATTCTACTCCACTACAGGTCAGAGGTACATGGTGTACTTTTACTCCACTACATGTAATAATACCTTTAGTTACTTCAGATGTGGATGAATGATGTGAAATCTAATCAAGTGTTAAATCAGACTTTAGTTCCACCTGGAGTAAATCCACCAGCTACCCTGCAGTATACAAAGTACTTCAAACTAGCTGCACCTTTACCAGCTTTGAGAACACTTTCATGATCAATCATTATAAAACATATCATATATATTATTCCTGAAATGGACCAATCTGCACAACGACTACTTTTTACTGTCGCTACTTTCACTATATTTTGATGAGAATACTTTTATACTTTCACTTGAGGAACATTTTGGAATGTAGGACTTTTACTGTAACAGAGTATTCCTACACTCTGGTACTTCTACTTTTACTCAAGTACAAGATCTGAGTACTTCTACTTTTACTAAGTACACGATCTGAGTACTTTTACTTTTACTAAAGTACAGTCTGAGTACTTCTACTTTTACTCTAGTACAACATCTGAGTACTTCTACTTTTACTCAAGTACAAGATCTGAGACTTCTACTTTTACTCAAGTACAAGATCTGAGTACTTCTACTTTTACTTAAGTACAAGTTCTGAGTACTTCTACTTTTACTCAAGTACAATATCTGAGTATTTCTACTTTTACTCAAGTACATGATCTGAGTACTTCTACTTTTACTAAAGTACAAGATCTGAGTACTTCTACTTTTACTTAAGTACAATATCTGAGTACTTCTACTTTTACTAAGTACATGATCTGAGTACTTCTACTTTTACTAAAGTACATGATCTGAGTACATCTACTTTTACTAAAGTACAAGATCTGAGTACTTTTACTAAAGTAAATGATCTGAGTACTTCTACTTTCACTCAAGAACAAGATCTGAGTACTTCCACTTTCACTCAAGAACAAGATATGAGTACTTCTACTTTTACTAAAGTACATGATCTGAGTACTTCTACTTTTACTCAAGTACAAGATCTGGGTACTTCTACTTTTACTAAAGTACATGATCTGAGTACTTCTACTTTTACTAAAGTACATGATCTGAGTACTTCTACTTTTACTAAAGTACATGATCTGAGTACTTCTACTTTTACTAAAGTACATGATCTGAGTACTTCTACTTTTACTAAAGTACTAGATCTGAGTACTTCTACTTTTACTAAAGTATATGATCTGAGTACTTCTACTTTTACTAAAGTACATGATCTGAGTACTTCTACTTTTACTAAAGTACAAGATCTGAGTACTTTTACTAAAGTAAATGATCTGAGTACTTCTACTTTTACTCAAGTACAAGATCTGAGTACTTCTACTTTTACTTAAGTACAAGTTCTGAGTACTTCTACTTTTACTCAAGTACAATATCTGAGTATTTCTACTTTTACTCAAGTACATGATCTGAGTACTTCTACTTGTTTACTAAGTACATGATCTGAGTACTTCTACTTTTACTCAAGTACAAGATCTGGGTACTTCTACTTTTACTAAAGTACATGATCTGAGTACTTCTACTTTTACTAAAGTACATGATCTGAGTACTTCTACTTTTACTAAAGTACATGATCTGAGTACTTCTACTTTACTAAAGTACATGATCTGAGTACTTCTACTTTTACTAAAGTACTAGATCTGAGTACTTCTACTTTTACTAAAGTACATGATCTGAGTACTTCTACTTTTACTAAAGTACATGATCTGAGTACTTCTACTTTTACTAAAGTACATGATCGGAGTACTTCTACTTTTACTAAAGTACTAGATCTGAGTACTTCTATTTACTAAAGTACATGATCTGAGTACTTCTACTTTTACAAGTACATGATCTGAGTACTTCTACTTTTACTTAAGTACAAGTCTGAGTACTTCTACTTTTACTCAAGTACAAGATCTGAGTACTTCTACTTTTACTAAGTACACGATCTGAGTACTTCTTTTACTTTACTAAAGTACAAGATCTGAGTACTTCTACTTTTACTCTAGTACAACATCTGAGTACTTCTATTTACTCAAGTACAAGATCTGAGTACTTCTACTTTTACTCAAGTACAAGATCTGAGTACTTCTACTTTTACTAAGTACAAGTTCTGAGTACTTCTACTTTTACTCAAGTACAATATCTGAGTATTTCTACTTTTACTCAAGTACAGATCTGAGTACTTCTACTTTTACTCAAGTACAAGATCTGAGTACTTCTACTTTTACTAAGTACAATATCTGAGTACTTCTACTTTTACTAAGTACAATGATCTGAGTACTTCTACTTTTACTAAGTACATGATCTGAGTATCTACTTTTACTAAAGTACAAGATCTGAGTACTTTACTAAAGTAAATGATCTGAGTACTTCTACTTTACTCAAGTACAAGATCTGAGTACTTCCACTTTACTCAAGAACAAGATCTGAGTACTTCTACTGTAACTAAAGTACAAGATCTGAGTACTTCTACTTTTACTCAAGTACAAGATCTGAGTACTTCTACTGTAACTAAAGTACAGATCTGAGTACTTCTGCTGTAACTAAAGTACAGATCTGAGTACTTCTACTGTAACTAAAGTACATGATCTGAGTACTTCTACTTTTACAAGTACATGATCTGAGTACTTCTACTTTTACTCAAGTACAGATCTGAGTACTTCTACTTTTACTAAAGTACATGATCTGAGTACTTACTTTTACTAAAGTACTGATCTGAGTACTTCTACTTTTACTAAAGTACAAGATCTGAGTACTTTTACTAAAGTAAATGATCTGAGTACTTCTACTTTTACTCAAGTACAAGATCTGAGTACTTCTACTTTTACTAAGTACAAGATCTGAGTACTTCTACTTTTACTCAAGTACATATCTGAGTTTCTACTTTTACTCAAGTACAGATCTGAGTACTTCTACTTTTACTCAAGTACATGATCTGAGTACTTCTACTTTTACTCAAGTACAAGATCTGAGTACTTCTACTTTTACTCAAGTACATGATCTGAGTACTTCTACTTTTACTAAAGTACATGATCTGAGTACTTCTACTTTTACTAAAGTACAGGATCTGAGTACTTCTACTTTTACTAAAGTACATGATCTGAGTACTTCTACTTTTACTAAAGTACAGATCTGAGTACTTCTACTTTTACTAAAGTACAGATCTGAGTACTTCTACTTTTACTAAAGTACATGATCTGAGTACTTCTACTTTTACTAAGTACAAGTTGAGTACTTCTACTTTATTTACTAAAGTACTAAGATCTGAGTACTTCTACTTTACTAAAGTACATGATCTGAGTACTTCTACTTTTACTCAAAGTACATGATCTGAGTACTTCTACTTTTACTTAAGTACAAGTTCTGAGTACTTCTACTTTTACTCAAGTACAAGATCTGAGTACTTCTACTTTTACTCAAGTACATGATCTGAGTACTTCTACTTTTACTAAAGTACATGATTCTGAGTACTTCTACTTTTACTCAAGGTCAAGATCTGGTACTTCTACTTTTACCTAAAGTACATGATCTGAGTACTTCTTCTTTACTAAAGTACATGATCTGAGTACTTCTACTTTTACTAAAGTACATGATCTGAGTACTTCTACTTTTACTAAAGTACATGATCTGAGTACTTCTACTTTTACTAAAGTACTAGATCTGAGTACTTCTACTTTTACTAAAGTACATGATCTGAGTACTTCTACTTTACTAAGTAAATCTGAGTACTTCTACTTTTTACTAAGTACCATGATCTGAGTACTTCTACTTTACTAAAGTACAGATCTGAGTACTTCTACTTTTACTAAAGTACATGATCTGAGTACTTCTACTTTTACTAAAGTACATGATCTGAGTACTTTACTTTTACTAAAGTACATGATCTGGGTACTTTCTACTTTTACTAAAGTACATGACTGAGTACTGCTACATTGTCCTACTTTACTAAAGTACATGATCTGAGTACTTCTACTTTTACTAAAGTACATGATCTGAGTACTTCTACTTTTACTAAAGTACTGATCTGAGTACTCTACCTTTACTAAAGTACATGATCTGAGTACTTCTACTTTGACTAAAGTACATGATCTGAGTACTTCTACTTTTACTAAAGTACATGATCTGAGTACTTCTACTTTTACTAAAGTACATGATCTGAGTACTTCTACTTTAACTAAAGTACATGATCTGAGTACTTCTACTTTGACTAAAGTACATGATCTGAGTACTTCTACTTTGACTAAAGAACATCAGAGTACTTCTACTTTGACTAGAGAACATCAGAGTACTTCTACTTTGACTAGAGAACATCAGAGTACTTCTACTTTGACTAGAGAACATCAGAGTACTTCTACTTTGACTAAAGAACATCAGAGTACTTCTACTTTGACTAAAGAACATCAGAGTACTTCTACTTTAACTAGAGAACATCAGAGTACTTCTACTTTGAACTAGAGAACATCAGAGTACTTCTACTTTGACTAAAGAACATCAGAGTACTTCTACTTTGACTAAAGAACATCAGAGTACTTCTACTTTGACTAAAGAACATCAGAGTACTTCTACTTTTGACTAAAGTACATGATCTGAGTACTTCTACTTTGACTAAAGTACATGATCTGAGTACTTCTACTTTGACTAAAGTACATGATCTGAGTACTTCTTCTTTGACTAAAGTACATGATCTGAGTACTTCTACTTTTACTAAAGTACATGATCTGAGTACTTCTACTTTTACTAAAGTACATGATCTGAGTACTTCTACTTTTACTAAAGTACATGATCTGAGTACTTCTTCTTTGACTAAAGTACATGATCTGAGTACTTCTACTTTGACTAAAGAACATCAGAGTACTTCTACTTTGACTAAAGAACATCAGAGTACTTCTACTTTGACTAAAGAACATCAGAGTACTTCTACTTTGACTAAAGAACATCAGAGTACTTCTACTTTGACTAGAGAACATCAGAGTACTTCTACTTTGACTTAAAGTACATGATCTGAGTACTTCTACTTTGACTAAAGTACATGATCTGAGTACTTCTACTTTGACTAAAGTACATGATCTGAGTACTTCTACTTTGACTAAAGTACATGATCTGAGTACTTCTATCTTTCCAGGATCCTAACGATGAGTTATGCTGAAAAGCCAGAAGACATCACGAAAGAAGAGTGGATGGAAAAACTGAACAATGTTCACATACAGAGGGCGGACATGAATCGGCTCATTATGAATTACCTGGTGACAGGTGAGGATGGATATACACCATTTATTATTAAGGATTCACGTCATGTGGAATTAGGATAATCCTGATTTTATTTGTGTTATTTATTCCCCTTTTGTACCGGGGAAACAAACACATCTTTATTACACAATGAAATAACTGACCTATAATTCATTTTTTAATCAGCGTACATTTAATCTAAGATCCTACTTTTAATATCAATACATGGAAACATAGCTGCTTTAAACACCTTTTTAAGCTGCAATTCAAGAAACTGCTCAATGAGAAGACAACAAAAACATTTGAGTTAAACAGGAACCATTTGGATAATTTATTAATTGTTAAAATGCTGTTTTAAAGTTCCCCGATTCTACTGTTTCTCATCAATATATCACAGGTCTCAGATTTATACAGAGCCTGTCTCTGATTGGCTGAAACACCAAACAGATCATTGCAGCATTACCCATAATCCCCTCTGTTTCAGCCCTGTTTCCAAAGTGCTGATTCTCTGTCTGTTACTTTAGATGAAAATAAGGAGCCCCTCCCCACGCCCCCTCTGAGAGAGATTTGGTTACAAAAGAACTCAATGGAGCTCTAGGAGGGAGATTCAGGTGATAAGGGGGGGGGGGGGGTTACCTTGGTTGCTGATTGGCTAATGGTTACACAAGACAAAACATCGTTATGAATCATAAGTGTCCAAAATCTGATCAGCTCATTTTCAGACAGGTTTTTATAGAAATGGATCAAAAAGAGAGAGAATCTTGTTCTGAACTTTCAGAGTCTCTTTCCACAGAGGGGACACATGTTGATGTAGAAGAGACATGAAGAAGAGGGGACACATGTTGATATAGAAGAGACATGAAGAAGAGGGGACACATGTTTGATTGTAGAAGAGCAATGAAGAAGAGGGGACACATGTTGATGTAGAAGAGACATGAAGAAGAGGGGACACACATGTTGATGTAGAAGAAGACATTGAAGAAGAGGGGACACATGTTGATGTAGAAGAGACATGAAGAAGAGGGGACACATGTTGATGTAGAAGAGACATGGAGAAGAGGGGGACACATGTTGATGTAGAAGAGACATGAAGAAGAGAGGACACATGTTGATGTAGAAGAGACATGAAGAAGAGGGGACACATGTTGATGTAGAAGAGACATGAAGAAGAGGGGACACATGTTGATGTAGAAGAGACATGGAGAAGAGGGGACACATGTTGATGAAGAAGAGACATGATGTAGAAGAGACATGAAGAAGAGGGGACACATGTTGATGAAGAAGAGACATGAAGAAGAGGGGACACATGTTGATGTAGAAGAGACATGATGTAGAAGGGGACACATGTGATGTAGAAGAGACATGAAGAAGAGGGACACGTGTTGATGTAGAAGAGACATGAAGAAGAGGGGACACGTGTTGATGTAGAAGAGACATGGAGAAGAGGGGACACATGTTGATGTAGAAGAGACATAAAGAAGAGGGGACACGTGTTGATGTAGAAGAGACATGAAGGAGAGGGGACACGTGTTGATGTAGAAGAGACATGAAGAAGAGGAGACACATGTTGATGTAGAAGAGACATGAAGAAGAGGGGACACATGTTGATGTAGAAGAGACATGAAGAAGAGGAGACACATGCTGATGTAGAAGAGACATGAAGGAGAGGGGACACATGTTGATGTAGAAGAGACATGAAGAAGAGGAGACACATGCTGATGTAGAAGAGACATGAAGAAGAGGAGACACATGTTGATGTAGAAGAGACATGAAGAAGAGGAGACACATGCTGATGTAGAAGAGACATGAAGGAGAGGGGACACATGTTGATGTAGAAGAGACATGAAGAAGAGGGGACACGTGTTGATGTAGAAGAGACATGGAGAAGAGGGGACACATGTTGATGTAGAAGAGACATGAAGAAGAGGGGACACATGTTGATGTAGAGGAGACATGAAGAAGAGGGGACACATGTTGATGTAGAAGAGGACATGAAGGAGAGGGGACACGTGTTGATGTAGAAGAGACATGGAGAAGAGGGGACACATGTTGATGTAGAAGAGACATGAAGAAGAGGGGACACGTGTTGATGTAGAAGAGACATGAAGAAGAGGGGACACGTGTTGATGTAGAAGAGACATGGAGAAGAGGGGACACATGTTGATCTAGAAGAGACATGAAGAAGAGGGGACACGTGTTGATGTAGAAGAGACATGAAGGAGAGGGGACACGTGTTGATGTAGAAGAGACATGGAGAAGAGGGGACACATGTTGATGTAGAAGAGACATGAAGAAGAGGGGACACATGCTGATGTAGAAGAGACATGAAGGAGAGGGGACACATGTTGATGGAGAAGAGACATGAAGAAGAGGGGACACGTGTTGATGTAGAAGAGACATGAAGAAGAGGGGACACGTGTTGATGTAGAAGAGACATGAAGAAGAGGGGACACGTGTTGATGTAGAAGAGACATGGAGAAGAGGGGACACATGTTGATGTAGAAGAGACATGGAGAAGAGGGGACACATACTGATGTAGGAGAGACATGAAGAAGAGGGGACACGTGTTGATGTAGAAGAGACATGAAGAAGAGGGGACACGTGTTGATGTAGAAGAGACATGGAGAGGAGGGGACACGTGTTGATGTAGGAGAGACATGAAGAAGGGGGGGACACATGTTGATGGAGAAGAGACATGAAGAAGAGGGGACACGTGTTGATGTAGAAGAGACATGAAGAAGAGGGGACACGTGTTGATGTCGAAGAGACATGAAGAGAGGGGACACGTGTTGATGTAGAAGAGACACGAAGAAGAGGGGACAATGTGATGTAGAAGAGACACGAAGGAAGAGGGGACACATGTTAATGTAGAAGAGGACACGAAGAAGAGGGGACACATGTTGATGTAGAAGAGGACATTGTAGAAGAGACACGAAGAAGAGGGGACACTGTTGATGTAGAAGAGACACGAAGAGAGGGGGACACATGTTGATGTAGAAGAGACCGAAAGAAGAGGGGGACACATGTGATGTAGAAGAGACACGAAGAAGAGGACACATGTTGATGTAGAAGAGACACGAAAGAAGAGGGGACACATGTGATTGTAGAAGAGACATGAAGAAGAGGGGACACATGTTGATGTAGAAGAGACATGAAGAAGAGGGGACACATGTTGATGTAGAAGAGACATGAAGAAGAGGGGACACATGTTGATGTAGAGAGACATAAGAAGAGGGGGAACCAGTGATGAGAAGAGACACGTGAGAAGAGGCGGACACATGTTGATGTAGAAGAGACATGACGAAGAGGGGACACATGTTGATGTAGAGAGACACGGAGAAGAGGGGACACGTGTTTGATGTAGAAGAGACACGAAGAAGAGGGGACACATGTTGATGTAGAAGAGACACGAAGAAGAGGGGACACATGTTGATGTTAGAAGAGACACGAAGAAGAGGGGACACATGTTGATGTAGAAGAGACATGAAGAAGAGGGGACACATGTTGATGTAGAAGAGACATGAAGAAGAGGGGACACATGTTGATGTAGAAGAGACATGAAGAAGAGGGGACACATGTTGATGTAGGACAGACATGAAGAAGAGGGGACACATGTTGATGTAGCAGAGACATGAAGAAGAGGGGACACATGTTGATGTAGGACAGACATGAAGAAGTGGATTTTGCACAATAGGGGACCTTTAACTCTCAAGATGTTCAGATGTTCAGAGTTGGAGTATATTCTGGTTTTAGACTGAGAACAGCAGACTTTATAAAGACCTCACGTTGGTCTCTGACCATCCATAAATCTACAGAATAATCTGCACAACAATCAAAAATGAAAACATTAAATTGCATTTCTCAAACATTTAGAAACAAACATAGATCTTTATTTTACCTCTTGTGTTTTTTATTCAGAAGTTTCCTCTTTGCATCTCCCGTGTCCAACTGTAAATATCCAAAACAACATTTAGACATTTAGTGAAATGAATCACTGAGTTTCCTAGAGGGGGCGGGGCTACAGGTTTATCTGCGAAACAATCACCAGGATAATGACTGACTGTTGCCAGACCTAATGTCAATCATCTGCATTGTAAACATGACACAAGGTGGCGCCATATCCATGTGAGTGAATGTACTTTGAATTTACCCTCTGTCTGTGTTAAGTCAATAAAGTTGCCTTGCCTTGAATGAAATTCACGCAACTCTTAATATTAGATACTGTGTTTTTAAGTGGCGATGGAGATTATTTGTTGACCCTGCTTTAAAGGTTCCCAACCTTTATTGTGTGGTGTGTGTTGGTGTGTGTGTGTGTGTGTGTGTGTGTGATGCTGGTGTGTGTGTGTGTGTGTTGTGTGTTGTGTGATGTGTGTGTGTGTGTGTGTGTGTGTGTGTGTGTGTGTGTGTTGTGTTGTGTGTGTGTGTGTGTGTGATGTGTGTGTGTGTGTGTATGTGTGTGTGTGTGTTGTGTGGTGTGTGTGTGTGTGGGTGTGTCGTGTGTGGCTGTGTGTGTTGTGTGTGTGTGTGTGTGTGTGTGTGTGGTGTGTGTGTGTGTGTGTGTGTGTGTGTGTGTGTGTGTGTGTGTGTGTGTGTGTGTGTGTGTGTGTGTGTGTGTGGTGTGTTGTGTGTGTGTGTGGTGTGTGTGTGTATTTGTGATTTGTTTTCAGAAGACATTATGATAGTGATGTTCGTTCCGGTGCACGTCCGTCAGCATTTAGCACTACATCGAGATTAAGATTAAACTAATTTATTTTGGGAACACCCGCATATAGATGTGTGTAAATTACTGTTCATGGTCATTTGAAAACAAATGCCGGTGTCGGACAGACACAAACACACCGAACACACAGAGCTGAGCTGAGCACACACACACACACACACACACACACACACATCATGCGCCTTGGTGACTGGACATCTCCTTCATAAAACTAATAAAAGGGGGAGTAATCGGGCAGTTCGATGTGTGTAGAGGTGTGTGTGGTTAACACGTAGCAGCCTGCAGTCACTCTTAAGCTGTTCAGCAGATACCGAGAGAGTCCCGGACATGAATTCATAGATCAAGGCAGACTGGTTTCACTCTCCTGTTTTGCCAATCCGGTGCTTAAACACATAGCTCTACACCCCTGGCCGACATGTCCTTAAAATGAAGTCAGAGTTTGAAATATATCTCAAATAATGTATGCACTGCCATTTCCCCACATAAACACAACAGTCTGCAATGAAACGGTTGTCTCCTGTGCGCTCCTCTTACTACTTGGCGCACCGGTAACTTTCTCGTGCGCACAAGAGGCTGAGACCCTGAGCCGCCGAATCCCTCGGAACATCATAAAAGCCATTTTCAACGGTTTTCTGGTGAAAGATTAACTATGGCTACTGGAGGAAGTAATATGACTGGTAGGCCTATAGGTGCGAACATTAAACACTTTTGAAAATATATTTTTATATATTTATAATTCTGCAAATATTACGATAAACTCACAGCTATTTCGCGGCCCGGCAGTAACACTTCCGCGGCCCGATACCGGTCCGCGGACAGGGGGTTGGGAACCCCTGCTTTAAAGGATATGTTGCCTTTACAAATGGTGCTCTTTATCACTGCCTGGCTTTTGGTTGAAGTGCATCCAAGTGCTGCTACGTTTTCACGTTTGGCTCATTTTCCATCTGAAAAACACGTGGTCTACCTGTCCTGTACCTCTTGTTATGACTTCTCTCTCTCGCGTATTCCGTTAAGACCTAAGACCCACCCCATCTCACTCCTCCTGCTGAAACCTACCAGTCAGAGTAGGAACGGGTCTTCACAGAAAACAAAATCAAGCTTTTTAAAAGGCGAGTGGATTTTGGCAGGCAGTGAGTGCGGACCAACGATTGAACGATAACAAGAACAGCTCTCACCAAGTACGACTCGGTTCCCCTCGTTCGTACCAAAGAGCCGTTCAAAAGAATCGGCTCGTTCGCGACCGACACATGACTAACAGTAAATACCTCATGTCCTGATGGCTTTCAGAACACGTTACAAGTCTGAAATCAGATGATGAATCCATGCTTTCCTGTTAAAACTGCCTATAATATCAACTTCATTGTCAATCTTTCAGTTTGTGTGTACAGAGAGATCGAAATACCATTTCCCACAATCCCGAATACAAAAACAAATATGTATATACCTGTATACAATCAAAGACACATTCATAAATGCACACATTAAGACCTAAATAAAAGCACAACAATCAATGTATACAAAATAACAGTCACTTAATTATCTTTGAGAATGTACATTAGTGCGAGACTGTCCATAGCAGCGAAAATAAATAAATATCTTTGCCTCTGCCTGTCTCTGCTCTACAGAAGGGTTCAAAGAAGCGGCGGAGAAGTTTCGTATGGAGTCTGGCATCGAGCCGAGTGTGGACCTGGACTCTCTGGATGAGCGGATAAAGATCAGAGAGATGATCCTGAAGGGACAGATCCAGGAAGCCATCGCCCTCATCAACAGCCTGCACCCCGAGCTGCTGGACACCAACCGCTACCTCTACTTCCACCTGCAGGTACAGGGCCCTTTGAAATGATATATTAACTTATAAAGTGCTTTTCAGACAGACATTAAAGGGGACCTATCATGCAAAATGCACTTTATACATCAACATGTGTCCCCGGTGTGTCAGGGAACTCACGCAGCGTCATAAAATAAACCCCTCTCTCTTTTCCTCCGTACCCAAATCTCTAAAAACGGGGGAACAACGGAGCTGATCCAGATTTGCGTTCGATATGACGTAATATCTGAAGTGTGGACCCACGGCCCAATCAGAAACGTTGCTATCAGAAACAATGCCCGACTGTTTTGGACGTAATATGGCCGGTGTTACATTAGCATCGCTAACACTCAGAGCTAACCTGTACTGGAGAGCATGTGTGTGTGAAGAAGCAGGAAGTAAAAAGGAACTCACCTTGTGGTATAACCGGCAAGAGAGAAAGCCTTTGAGCTCCAAACTGTTTCAGAGATAATCCTTGATGTGGTTTGGAACATGATGGCGTTTAATCACGGCAGCATTTAGCGGAGTATCTGCCGGGTAATTCTGAGCAGGCATTAGCTCCGCCTCCTTTTTTTTTCAAGCTAAGGACCCGGAATCAGCACTTTAGTAACAGGGCTGAAATAGAGGGATATGAGGGATTTCTAAAATGCATGATCTGTTTGGTGTTTTGAGCAAAACACATCATAGACATGTTTCTGAGACCTATAATATATGCCTAAGAGACCTTTAAGCCAGATATTTCAAAAAGTCATTAAACAAACGGTTAAAACCATGATCAGTACAGATAACACTGAAATCCGTAAAAAGCATGTCAAGTATTTATCACTTCATAATGAAGTGAACCAACCCAGATCAACTTAACGCATGAATTACTGTTTCTACTTTTGTAAAAAGATAAGAATTGCATTATCAGTCAGTAATACTGAAGATGTGAGCCTGAGGCAGACTCTAGATATAAACCAGAACACATTTCTGAACAGCAGTGACATCAACATGTGTCCCCTCTTCTTCATGTCTCTTCTACATCAACATGTGTCCCCTCTTCTTCATGTCTCTTCTACATCAACATGTGTCCCCTCTTCTTCATGTCTCTTCTACATCAACAGTGTCCCCTCTTCTTCATGTCTCTCTACATCAACATGTGTCCCCTCTTCTTCATGTCTCTTCTACATCAACATGTGTCCCTCTTCTTCATGTCTCTTCTACATCAACATGTGTCCCCTCTTCTTCATGTCTCTTCTTCATCAACATGTGTCCCCTCTTCTTCATGTCTCTTCTTCATCAACATGTGTCCCCTCTTCTTCATGTCTCTTCTTACATCAACATGTGTCCCCTCTTCTTCATGTCTCTTCTACATCAACATGTGTCCCCTCTTCTTCATGTCTCTTCTACATCAACATGTGTCCCCTCTTCTTCATGTCTCTTCTACATCAACATGTGTCCCCTCTTCTTCATGTCTCTTCTACATCAACATGTGTCCCCTCTTCTTCATGTCTCTTCTACATCACCATGTGTCCCCTCTTCTTCATGTCTCTTCTACATCAACATGTGTCCCCTCTTCTCCATGTCTCTTCTAAATCAACATGTGTCCCCTCTTCTTCATGTCTCTTCTCCATCAACATGTGTCCCCTCTTCTTCATGTCTCTTCTACATCAACATGTGTCCCCTCTTCTCCATGTCTCTTCTAAATCAACATGTGTCCCCTCTTCTTCATGTCTCTTCTACATCAACATGTGTCCCCTCTTCTTCATGTCTCTTCTACATCAACATGTGTCCCCTCTTCTTCATGTCTCTTCTACATCAACATGTGTCCCCTCTTCTCCATGTCTCTTCTACATCAACATGTGTCCCCTCTTCTTCATGTCTCTTCTACATCAACATGTGTCCCCTCTTCTCCATGTCTCTTCTACATCAACATGTGTCCCCTCTTCTTCATGTCTCTTCTACATGAACATGTGTCCCCTCTTCTCCATGTCTCTTCTACATCAACATGTGTCCCCTCTTCTTCATGTCTCTCCTACATCAACATGTGTCCCCTCTTCTCCATGTCTCTTCTACATCAACATGTGTCCCCTCTTCTTCATGTCTCTTCTACATGAACATGTGTCCCCTCTTCTCCATGTCTCTTCTACATGAACATGTGTCCCCTCTTCTTCATGTCTCTTCTACATCAACATGTGTCCCCTCTTCTCCATGTCTCTTCTACATCAACATGTGTCCCCTCTTCTTCATGTCTCTTCTACATCAACATGTGTCCCCTCTTCTTCATGTCTCTTCTACATCACATGTGTCCCCTCTTCTTCATGTCTCTTCTACATCAACATGTGTCCCCTCTTCTTCATGTCTCTTCTACATCAACATGTGTCCCCTCTTCTTCATGTCTCTTCTACATCAACATGTGTCCCCTCTTCTTCATGTCTCTTCTACATCAACATGTGTCCCCTCTTCTTCATGTCTCTTCTACATCAACATGTGTCCCCTCTTCTTCATGTCTCTTCTTCATCAACATGTGTCCCCTCTTCTTCATGTCTCTTCTACATCAACATGTGTCCCCTCTGCTTCATGTCTCTTCTTCATCAACATGTGTCCCCTCTGCTTCATGTCTCTTCTACATCAACATGTGTCCCCTCTTCTTCATGTCTCTTCTACATCAACATGTGTCCCCTCTGTGGAAAGAGACTCTGAAAGTTTCAGGAACAAAGATTCTCTCTCTTTTTGATCCATTTCTATAAAAACCTGTCTGAAAATGAGCTGATCAGATTTTGGCCACTTTATGATGTCATAATGATGTTTTGTCTTGTTGGTTGTGTAACCATTAGCCAATCAGCAACCAAGGTAACCCCCGCTATCACCTGAATCTCCTCCTAGAGCTCCATTGAGTTATTTGAATGGACCAAATCTCTCTCAGAGGGGCGTGGGGAGGGGCTCCTTATTTTCATCTAAAGTAACAGACAGAGAATCAGCACTTTGGAAACAGGGCTGAAACAGAGGGGGTTATGGGTAATGCTGCAATGATCTGTTTGGTGTTTCAGCCAATCAGAGACCGGCTCTGGATATATCTGAGACCTGTGATATATTGATGAAGAAGAGGATAACAGGCGACCTTTAAGTCAGTATTGAAGTTTAGAAAGAGCTGTTTAAAACATGTGGATTAAAGTGTGTCCTGGTATGTCATTAAATATGGAAGTGTTGTGATACTAGATAAACATGTAATTGACGCCCCGCTTGCTGTCCGTTCCCCCGCAGCAGCAGCATCTGATCGAGCTGATCCGTCTGAGGGAGACGGAGTCGGCGCTGGAGTTCGCTCAGACTCAGCTGGCGGAGCAGGGCGAGGAGAGCAGGGAGTGTCTGACGGAGATGGAGAGGACGTTAGCGCTGCTCGCCTTCGACAACCCCGAGGAGTCGCCCTTCGGAGACCTGCTCAACATGATGCAGCGGCAAAAGGTGCGCAGGTTTACCCTGGTTTACCCCTCACCAGAGGTTTACCCCTCACCAGAGGTTTACCCCTCACCAGAGGTTTACCCCTCACCAGAGGTTTACCCCTCACCAGATTCTCACATTCCTCGACCCCTAGTCTTCCTGTGAAATTATAGTTCTTTTGACACTTCTTATATCCTTTCATTCCACGTTGCATCCCCAGACGACACGTGTTCCTGTTGTCCTGCTACCTGAACCCATCTTTGGCCTTTAAACCACTTCTCTTTTCAATTCACAGAATTAGGATATTTGAACCTGTTTTTAGACTTCCCTCGTGAATCTTTCAGAATCGGGTTTATTGCCAGGTAGCTTCACACATACGAGGAATTTGACTTGATGTCGTGGTGCATACATACAATATAAAACAAGAAATCTAAATCTAAAACAAGAAATATTTAAGGACACTGTTATAGAATATAGTTAAATGGCAATAAAATACAGCAGTCATTTACCGTGAAATAGAATGCAGTGAATGATAGAATATGAAATATGTGCAGTAAGCAGTATTTGAACATTGCGTGCATTAATGTAATGCTTATACGTTGTGTCAGTGGGGGGGCCGGGCCTTGTTTAAGACCCCGGCCACACGAGGACGAAAACGGCTAAACGCATAGGATTAACGCAAACGCAATCGCAAACAAGCTTCCGTCTACACGCAATAGTTATCCGGATAGTGTCTGTCCACACGAGACCGCTCCGTTTAGCTCCAACCGCTGGAGAAGCTGCAGTACATATGCAGGAGCCTGTACGTGGCGCTGTAACTTCCTCCACAAAAGCAGCGAAGAAGCATGGTTGTCATGGTTGCCCTTCTGTTTATTCTCCGCGGTGGGGGCCGAGGGAACCGGGCAGAGTTTTTCGCCAGTCAACGTGTATTAAAGTTTAAATCTTCCGACAAAATTATAAAAGTGCCGGTCAAAGGTCTTCTTTGTTATTTATTGAGCTTTAAAACAAATGAATAACGACTCTATATAATATAATAATATAAATACACGGAGCCTCTCTTTTTCCTCCCTCTCTTCGGACAGCGCCAGTGTCTGTTTCATGCAGCAGCTGATCCAGTAATGAGTGACCCGGCCGACAGTAAAAATAAACATATTTATAACTAGTTTAGGTAATGGTGTCTCCGTCCTGTCAGATTAGACTTCTCTCGCGTTTATGTCCATATCGAGAGAAAGATAAATAATCTGAATTCAGTGTGCAGTTTACTTTGACGCGGGGGTGAGCAGCAGAGGTGGGGAGAGGCGGGGCTATTGCGCAATCATTATCAGAAAATGATCGCTGAAGCTGCAGTACATATCCACAAAAGCAGCGAGTAAGATCCCCCCCGGATGTGTAAGTCTGCTGTAGATGTTGCACAAAGAACTGTAGCATGGTCAGTAGCGTCCGGAGCACGATAGCAACTCTGCGATCCGCCATTGTTGTTGTTGTTGGTGGCGAAACACATCAGCAATGGCGCGGGGTACGCGGAGGTGAGCAGCAGAGGTGGGGAGAGGCGGGGCTATTGCGCAATCATTATCAGAAAATGATCGTATAGGGCGCACACACGGAGCTGTTTGACCCCCCAGAGCGTTGCGTATGCCGTTCTATCCACCTTGGGACCCGTTATCGTTTCCTCAGTCGTTTAGTGCCGTATGCGGTCGTCCTCGTGTGGCCGAATGGTCTATATGACACTAAACAGTAACGCAAACGGCCGTTTTCGTCCTCGTGTGGCCGGGGCATAAGAGGAGGGGAAGAAACTGTTCAGGTGGCGAGAGGTTCTGGTCCTGATGGTCCTCCTGCCAGAGGGGAGGGGGGTGAACAGTTTGTGTCCAGGGTGGGAGGGGTCGGCCACTGTCTTCCCGCCTCAGGGTCCTGGAGGCGGGAAGACAGTGGAGGGATGGCAGATTGCAGCCTTCTCTCTTTGGCCTTAAAGCAACACGTAGTGACCGTCCCCCTTTGGCCTCAAAGCACCACGTAGTGACCCTCCCCCTTTGGCCTCAAAGCACCACGTAGTGACCCTCCCCCTTTGGCCTCAAAGCACCACGTAGTGACCCTCCCCCTTTGGCCTCAAAGCACCACGTAGTGACCCTCCCCCTGTCTCTGTGTGATGTTCAGGTGTGGAGCGAGGTGAACCAGGCGGTGCTGGACTACGAGAACAGAGAGTCGACTCCCAAACTGGCGAAGCTGCTGAAGCTGCTGCTGTGGGCCCAGAACGAGCTGGACCAGAAGAAGGTCAAATACCCCAAAATGACGGACCTGAGCACGGGAACCATCGAGGACCCCAAGTGAACCGCCCCACCCTCTATCCCCCCCCCCCCCCACTTAATTTATGACCAGGCAGTGACTGTGTGACAGCCAGGTTTGTGTATAAACAGATGCTAACTTCACGTTTCATTCATGGGAGGTAAAACTGTAAATTGCTGTATTTACAAAATATAAATGTAGTTTACTGATCCTGGATTTTTGGTTAAATCTCGGAGACGACAATTCAAATAAAGCCTAAGCTAGGAGTATTATTTATTTTGACCCTGAGACTTTATCTTACCAGAGAGCAAGGTGGTAACAGAGGGGAGGAAAATAACGATCACTGCTTCAAATCAGAGTTTAACATTTGAAATTTCATACAAAAAATGTGAGTATTTTTCAATGAAAAGGAAGGAGACACTTTATTAAATGTAACATAGTTTTAATTAATATAGTATTTTATGGTTTCTTGTCTGAAAACTCGTTTCTTTTTGGTACGTAATATAAAAACAAGACATTTTGAGAACATGCCGTCCATTTTTGAAGCCGTCAGTATTTTCTCATGCATGGAAATGTTTTTTCAACGGGGAAAAGTCTGTTGTTGTGCTTGTTTATTTTTTGTTTACTTGCTGCTTGTTGTCCATCCTTAATTTATTTTAAGGTTGTATTGTCTTTATAGATATATTGGCTTTGACAAATACTGAAACCCAGAGAGCTCACGTCCCTTTTATTATTCCACATTTTTAAAGCGCAGATTTGCAAATATTAAAATAAACAAAACTTTTGTGAACCATACCAAATGTTTTTCTCCATTTTCTGGGTGGCTTGTTTGAGGGAAAATCCCCTGTTTATAAAAGAGTACTCCTGGAACTGTTGGAAAAATCTCACTGGCTTGAGCTTCAGTCTCAGGATGTATTTCTGATCCAGAATGGAAGTAGTCACAACAAAAAGAGAATTTGTTGGTATTTTTCCCAAAATCCTGACTTTTTCCTCAAAGATCTGACTTTTTTTTCTCAAAATTCTGACTTTTTCTTGAAACATTTCAAAATTCTGACTTTTTCACAAAAATATGACTTTTCCTCAAATCTGAATTTTTCTCAAAAATCGGAAAAATTCTGACTTTTTTCTAAAAATAAATAAAAATTCTGAATTTTTTTCTCATCTAACAATTCTGACTTTTTCACAACAATCTAAAAATTCTGACTTTTTCACAAAAATATTGAGCTTCAGTCTCAGGATCCATGTATTTCGAATCCTCTCCAGAATGGAAGTATAGTCACAACAAAAAAAGAGAATTTGTTGTTCTCAAAATCCTGACTTCTTCCTCAAAGATCTGACTTTTTTCTCAAAATTCTGACTACCTCAAAAATAAAAAAATAATTCTGACTTTTTCTCAAAAATCTGACTTTCTGAATACTTAACATTTTTAATAATTACTCGTCACCATCTTGAACTTCAATCTCAGGATCCATGTGTCTGTGATCCTCTCCAGAATGGAAGGAGTCATCACATACAGAGCATCAACTAGTTCCTGAACAGTGTCCTTCACATGCTGATATCCAAGAGAGGGAGTTACACAGTCACAAGATGGAGGAATAGAAAGCAGTATTCAATGTTTACTTCAGATTAGCTCCACGTCAGAAATGAGCATGCTTGATGTCTATCTCCATAGAGGCTGAATCATCATGTTAATCACAGAGCTATCATCTGCCTCAAACAGTCCTGATGCTCTTCTAGGTAATCACACATCCTGTCATGTTCACAGCTACAGTTGGGATACCTTTGTTATCATGTTGGAAGAGTGCATTCAGTGTTTTCCAAACAGTTATTTTAGGTATTTACTTGACTATTCCCAATTTCTGCTACTCACTCACTGGCCACTTTATTAGGAACACCTGTTCAACTGCTCGTTAAAGCAATTATCTTATCAGCCAATCACATGGCAGCAACTCAATGCATTTAGGCATGTAGACGACCTGGTGAAGTTCAGACAGAGCATCAGAACGGAGAAGAAAGGTGTTTAAGAAACTTTGAACATGGCATCAATCAGAGTTTATTTATGAAGCCAAATATCTCACATTTGACATTTGTCCGTGGACTTTACAGTTTGTACAGAATATGAATGTGACCCCCTGTGCTTGGACCCTCACATCGGACAAGAAACCCCCGGTTAATGGAAGAAATGAAGACACTTGGGGGAGAGCAACCGAGGAGGATCCCTCTCCCAGGACAGACAGACGTGCAATAGATGCCGTGTGTAAATGAAAAAGATAATACAATGACCCCATAGTCACCTATTATGCAAACCCCTCCCCCTTGGATCTCTGTCCAAAATAAAACATCCGAACAGCAAACCCTGTCCTTTTCAAGGGAAATATGCAAATGTTATACAAGCTGCCTTTCCTACTTCATATTGATGCCCAGTTTCTATCCCTTTTTATTTTGAAGGCATACATTTTACAGTATTTGAACACAGTAGTAAAATAACTTGTACTCCAAAAGGCAAGTGGTTTCAAGTACTTTATAGAAACCTCATGACAGCTTGAAATAGGTTTGGTGAGGTGCTGCAAGTGTTTTGATCTCTCTCCAAAATAAATACTCTCTTTACATAACATCTAATTAAGCTGACGCAAAAACCATGAAGATTCAAACTCAGCAGATCTTTCTGGTATCAGTACTTTACTCCACTACTTATTTTTCTGACGACTTTCTACTTCTTACATTTTGAACACAAATACCCGGGGCCCATTCCAATAGTCCATTTAGCTTAGGAACCTTCCTAACGGAGTGAAATGACCCGGAAGTCCCTCACTGGCAGCCATGATAAGTGCCGTTCCAATTCTCCAAATGAAAGGAAAGGAGGTTTCAAACTTCCTTTATAACCTCCTTTAGCTTAGGAACCACTGGACCTCCCTAACCGAAAGGAGAGGAGAAATGCTGCCCCACAATGCATTGCGGCCGCAGCATTTGCCGTCACTCAACAGTCGGCCGTTCCCGGAAACAAACGATTATGACGGAGAAATGATATCATGAAAGTTACGGTGCTTATTAAGCATTTTAAAACGTATGTGGTAAGTTGTAGTGATGGCAAAATGAAGCTTTGAATGAAGCGTCGAACCACTTGGACAATTGTGTCGGAAATAGGTTCATTTCTCGAAGCTTCAGTTACAGCGACCGCTCCTGGCGAAGTGCAAGGCTGCAGTGGGTTTAACGTATCATTGCCTTGAAAAATATTCGACACACACACACACACACACACACACACACACACACACACACACACACACACACACACACACACACACACACACACACACACACACACACACTGAATATCATGTTCTATTTGCAATTAAGGATTGATAATTGTGTGTATTGGGTTATTGAGAAGAGACTAGAGAGTGCTAGACATGTTTTTGGGTGGAGAGGGCCTTTTTATCAGTTATTAAAGTTGAAAAGCAATGATTAAAATACGTCCATTCCGGGATTTGAACCAGCTGCGCGGAAGACATCACCGCATTCGGGCCGCCGGCTGTACCCACTGGGCTATCTATTGCTTGAAATATTGAACTGTTTTTATATTACTGATAATTGTCTTTTTGTTCACAACTTCTCCACATTTCGAAGTGTTTCCCGAGCCAGAACGACCTATCTTACTTCCTGGCTTGCTCTATAATGATATCAAATGCAATACCAACAACAACTCAACAGCAACAACGCAAACCACGACAACAACCCACACATTGTGCATTGTTTAGAGCGGTCATAAAGTGTTGAAGCACTCAAGTTTGAAACTGTTTCAACCTGTCACCTGTCAGAATCGAGACGAGGCAGTGCATTGAATCGCGTGAATGGACCGTGAACCAGTCAAGTGATTCATTCAGGAAATGAAGCAGTTTCTGCTTCGGACGTCACATGTCACGTGATTTGAAGCAGTTGCTGCTTCGGACGTCATATATCACGTGATTTGAAGCAGTTGCTGCTTCGGACGTCATATGTCACGTGATTTGAAGCAAGCTTCGAAGCACTGCTTCTATGGAATAGGAAGTCCAGGGTTGAAGCTCCGTTCGAAGCTTCAGTGTCAAACTGCCATCACTAGTAAGTTGCCAAAGTGCTTTGTTTTGAACGTTCATCAGTATTATAATCAAAAAGAGAAATATGAACGTTAGTTTTTACTGAAATGATCAAATAAAGTCAACATTTCACAGTCTTTACTGAGCTGTGTGGAGTTTGTTCAACTTTTAAAAGATGTGTGAATGGTGATATACACAGTGATAGATGTTAAGGACTAACGTTTATAATAAATACATCTGTATTTATTTTTAAGATCTTTTCATAGTTCATACAGTCATACGTATTGGGATCATTTGTATTAATGTGGAACGGAGGGAGAGGGTGACGAGCATAAGTTTCACTTTCCTTTTTTATTTCAATTCCAACTTTGGTCATGAAGAATATGTTTCTCTGTTGTCCACGTTCATAAAGCATAAAGCAACAGCATCAGAGCACGGTGCAGAGTCTCTCGATGAGTCCCTCGTTCTTATTGAACATCCATGTTGTAGTCCGCTGTATAGAAAACTGCAGTTTCCATAGTTTCCCCACAGCAGCAGACGCACACAATGACGTCCGCTGGCGCATCATAAACACGTCGGATAGTGAAAGTGCATTCGGATTCTCTAAAGTACCGCAGTCTATTCTCCTAAATCCTTTTGAATTCTCCTATCCACTATCCCTTAACCCCGTGACGTTTCACTCAGAGGTCAAGGGATAGGAGATAGGGTTAGAATTTAGGAGCTAATTTTTGGATTATCGGAACGCAACCCCGTACTTTCTACTTCTCACATGTTGAACACAAATACCTGTACTTTCTACTTCTCACATGTTGAACACAAATACCTGTACTTTCTACTTCTCACATGTTGAACACAAATACCTGTACTTTCTACTTCTTACACGTTGAACACAAATACCTGTACTTTCTACTTCTTACATGTTGAACTCAAATACCTGTACTTTCTACTTCTTACATGTTGAACTCAAATACCTGTGCTTTCTACTTCTTACACGTTGAACACAAATACCTGTACTTTCTACTTCTTACATGTTGAACCCAAATACCTGTGCTTTCTACTTCTTACATGTTGAACTCAAATACCTGTACTTTCTACTTCTTACATGTTGAACTCAAATACCTGTACTTTCCACTTCTTACATTTTGAACACAAATACCTGTACTTTCTACTTCTTACATGTTGAACTCAAATACCTGTACTTTCTACTTCTTACATGTTGAACCCAAATACCTGTACTTTCTACTTCTCACATTTTGAACCCAAATACCTGTACTTTCTACTTCTTACACGTTGAACACAAATACCTGTACTTTCTACTTCTCACATGTTGAACCCAAATACCTGTACTTTCTACTTCTTACATGTTGAACCCAAATACCTGTACTTTCTACTTCTTACATGTTGAACTCAAATACCTGTACTTTCTACTTCTCACATTTTGAACCCAAATACCTGTACTTTCTACTTCTCACATGTTGAACTCAAATACTTGTACTTTCTACTTCTTACATGTTGAACACAAATACCTGTACTTTCTACTTCTCACATGTTGAACACAAATACCTGTACTTTCTACTTCTCACATGTTGAACACAAATACCTGTACTTTCTACTTCTTACAAGTTGAACACAAATACCTGTACTTTCTACTTCTTACATGTTGAACACAAATACCTGTACTTTCTACTTCTCACATGTTGAACTCAAATACCTGTACTTTCTACTTCTTACATGTTGAACACAAATACCTGTACTTTCTACTTCTTACATGTTGAACACAAATACCTGTACTTTCTACTTCTTACATGTTGAACCCAAATACCTGTACTTTCTACTTCTCACATGTTGAACACAAATACCTGTACTTTCTACTTCTTACATGTTGAACACAAATACCTGTACTTCTACTTCTTACATGTTGAACACAAATACCTGTACTTTCTACTTCTTACATGTTGAACACAAATACCTGTACTTTCTACTTCTTACATGTTGAACCCAAATACCTGTACTTTCTACTTCTCACATGCTGAACACAAATACCTGTACTTTCTACTTCTTACATGTTGAACACAAATACCTGTACTTTCTACTTCTTACATGTTGAACTCAAATACCTGTACTTTCTACTTCTTACATGCTGAACACAAATACCTGTACTTTCTACTTCTTACATGTTGAACTCAAATACCTGTACTTTCTACTTCTTACATGTTGAACACAAATACCTGTACTTTCTACTTCTTACATGTTGAACCCAAATACCTGTACTTTCTACTTCTCACATGCTGAACACAAATACCTGTACTTTCTACTTCTTACATGTTGAACACAAATACCTGTACTTTCTACTTCTTACATGTTGAACTCAAATACCTGTACTTTCTACTTCTCACATGTTGAACTCAAATACCTGTACTTTCTACTTCTCACATGCTGAACACAAATACCTGTACTTTCTACTTCTTACATGTTGAACACAAATACCTGTACTTTCTACTTCTTACATGTTGAACTCAAATACCTGTACTTTCTACTTCTTACATGTTGAACCCAAATACCTGTACTTTATACTTCTTACATGTTGTACCCAAATACCTGTACTTTCTACTTCTTACATGTTGAACTCAAATACCTGTACTTTCTACTTCTTACATGTTGAACTCAAATACCTGTACTTTCTACTTCTTACATGTTGAACCCAAATACCTGTACTTTCTACTTCTGACATTTTGAACCCAAATACCTGTACTTTCTACTTCTCACATGTTGAACACAAATACCTGTACTTTCTACTTCTTACATGTTGAACTCAAATACCTGTACTTTCTACTTCTTACATGTTGAACTCAAATACCTGTACTTTCTACTTCTTACATGTTGAACCCAAATACCTGTACTTTCTACTTCTTACATGTTGAACTCAAATACCTGTACTTTCTACTTCTTACATGTTGAACTCAAATACCTGTACTTTCTACTTCTCACATGTTGAACACAAATACCTGTACTTTCTACTTCTTACATGTTGAACTCAAATACCTGTACTTTCTACTTCTTACATGTTGAACACAAATACCTGTACTTTCTACTTCTTACATGTTGAACTCAAATACCTGTACTTTCTACTTCTTACATGTTGAACTCAAATACCTGTACTTTCTACTTCTTACATGTTGAACACAAATACCTGTACTTTCTACTTCTTACATGTTGAACTCAAATACCTGTACTTTCTACTTCTCACATGCTGAACACAAATACCTGTACTTTCTACTTCTCACATGCTGAACACAAATACCTGTACTTTCTACTTCTCACATGTTGAACCCAAATACCTGTCAGGGTTTCCCACACATAGACTATACTTGGGCGGGCCGCCCAGGTATATTAACGACCGCCCAAGTATATTTCGCGACCCATTTAGTTTTTTTGTTTTTTTTATATATATTTTTTTTTATTCGTCCGTGACCACGACGCCATCTGCGATCGATTAACTTGTAGACAATGATCCCTCGCTCCCTTGCTCTGATCTCGCCTCCTTCTGGCCTGTTAAGTGGCCTGCCTCACACAGGGTGACTGGCTGTCCACATGATGTGGCCTGCCGACATGGCCACTGTCATACAGATCATAAATCAAAGCCCTTGATTGGTCTCTGTGTGTCATTCAAGCTCGGGATAACCTCAGCTCAGGTGAGGTAAAGGACTCTCTGAGTGTTTAGATAGTTAACTTAGTCTAAGTTCTCAGTGGGTCTCAAACTGTGTGGTCACCATTTATGTAAACACATATTTCCATTTGAGAGGGTAGTGATTGGTCTAATGGATAGTGAGGTGGGCTGAAGATCGGAAGGCTGTGAGTTCAAATCCCGCCAGGAACACCACCACTAGTGTGCCCTTGAGTAAGGCACTTAGCCTTTAGTTACTCCAGGGAGAATGTCCCTGTAATCGGTCATTATAAGTCGCTTTGGATAAAAGCGTCAGCTAAATGAAATGTAATGTGATTAGTAAAATATGCATGAATAAATAAATAAAAAGTTAACTAGGTGAAAAAAGGTAAGATACACTTTTAAAACGTGTTGAGAGAAAACTAGTCTTTGCTGCTGCCTCAAAGAGGAGCAGGGGGAGAGGATGGTGAGGGGGGAGAGGAGGGAGACAGGAGAGGCTGATTCAGGAGCACAGACACACTCACAACTATAAATGAACCAAAACTAAATTAATAAACAAGTTTCAGTGTTTTTTTCATATTGGAAATGGGATGTTATTGGTTATGGCCTTGATTTTATGATTATTGAAATGTATACAGTTCTGTTAAATATAGGTGTTTCCATAGATCTAGTCTCTTTATTTTCCCCTCAAAATGCACCAGATTGATGCATTTAACTCCAAAATAAAAAATAAAATCTTACCGGGGGGGCATGCCCCTGGACCCCCCTAGAGGATTTGAGGTCGACCCCCACTAAAAATCACATGGATAGGTTCCTAAATACATTAATAAATACATTTATTTTTTAAAATAGTAACCCATTTCCATATGTTCATGTGTGGGTAGTAGATTTAAACTATAGGGCTATCATTATGGACCCTGCCTGTACCTGGACCTGTTCGCTCTGCCATCGCGTGAAGGGTCTGCTAACAAGCGACCAACAGAAAGGTTAATGTTGTTGCACGTCACCTCAACCCCCCCCCCCCCGCTACCACCACCCCCCAAAGTATATTTCAGATCTGTGGGAAACACTGGCAGTTAATGGACCAGCACCAGAGGCATTCCCATACACACAGGCGTTGGATCTGTTCTTCATGAAATCCCAGAAGGATGAAGTGCTCTGACAAACAGTGCCATCTTTGCGCAAAATGATTATACCGGAATGAAAAGTCAATAAATAATGTTGTTAAAACTTTTTTTTTTTTTCGCGCACCCCCCCCCCCCCCTGCCACCACCCGCCCAAGTATATTTCATATCTGTGGGAAACACTGCCTGTACTTTCTACTTCTCACATGCTGAACACAAATACCTGTACTTTCTACTTCTTACATGTTGAACCCAAATACCTGTACTTTCTACTTCTCACATGCTGAACACAAATACCTGTACTTTCTACTTCTTACATGTTGAACCCAAATACCTGTACTTTCTACTTCTTACATGTTGAACCCAAATACCTGTACTTCCACTTCTTACATGTACTTTCTACTTCTCACATGTTGAACCCAAATACCTGTACTTTCTACTTCTTACATGTTGAACTCAAATACCTGTACTTTCTACTTCTCACATGTTGAACCCAAATACCTGTACTTTCTACTTCTTACATGTTGAACTCAAATACCTGTACTTTCTACTTCTCACATGTTGAACTCAAATACCTGTACTTTCTACTTCTCACATGTTGAACTCAAATACCTGTACTTTCTACTTCTTACATGTTGAACTCAAATACCTGTACTTTCTACTTCTTACATGTTGAACTCAAATACCTGTACTTTCTACTTCTTACATGTTGAACACAAATACCTGTACTTTCTACTTTTCTCATTTTCCAAACAGCTGGTTCCTTTAGTCTGAATGTGTGTTTGATGCGTGATCATTATTCTTTAGAGTCATTGCGTGCCTATTGATTTGAACACGATCCGTGTATCCATCATTTCCTGGTCTTCTCTAAAGAAGAGGGACCAATGGAAACGTTGTCATGTTGCCGTTGTTCAGCATGGAAACATTCATTAGCTAACAATGACATTATTTTTCTATTGATATAAAGGGAGGTCAGGTACTCTTTAAAACAGCTGCTAGTTATGGGTACTTTTTACTGAAGTATATTTCAAAGCCTCTTTACTTTGACTTGAGTAAAGAAGTTTAGTCAGTACTTCTACTTTTACCAGAGTATTTTTAAACACCAGTATCTGTACTTCTACTTGAGTAAAGATGTGTGTATTCTGCCCTCTCTGATATACGGCAGAGCTTCCTGTCCTCTACTGGGGAAATATTGAAATGTTCTTGCTCTCTGTGAAACCATGTAAATCACGAGCAGCTTCTCTTTCTGGGTTTTGTTTCAACAAGTCGTACCTGTTTGTCCTGCCAGTGAGAGGAGGAGGAGGAGGAGGAGGAGGAGGAGGAAGGCGGGGAGGGAGAGCTGAAGTACTCTCAGAGCGGTCAGACACTGAGGGAAACACTGATCTGATCACATGGAGGACAGACACACAGCCAGAGACGGCAGGAAACACCTGAGCTATCCTCAGCTGGATTGTGAGACGTATGGAGGACGTGTTTCCAGCGGAGAGGACAGGAAGCTGTGGCCCAGGTGAGACAGGAATCTAAAACATGTGGAACAGCCGGTTAGCTTTACATGACGGTAACATGACATGGTTCTTAAAATGAGTCATGCTTTGTTTTTTTCATTCATGTTTTCTAAGTTAGTCATTGTGAAATAATACTGCTGCTGGGTGTATTGTATTACTGGCTGATACTTCACTTGTATAGGTTCACTTTCCCCTTACTTTGTTTTTCTTTGATTTGTACTTACTTTATTTTACGGACGTATGAACCTATACTTTTACTCAAGTACAAGATCTGAGTACTTCTCCCAACTCTGAATATGACAATATAATAAACAGCAAAGTAAAAGAGGGTAGATACGACCTCTCCCCACCTCTGTTGCTCACCCCCGCGTCACCCGCGTCATTGCTGATGTGTTTCAACAACAACAACAACAACAATGGCGGATCACAGGGTTGCGTTCCTGCTCCAGACGCTACTGACCATGATACAGATGTTAGAGCAAAATCTACAGCTCCTCTACCACCACCATCAGCAACAAGTGGACATGGAGAACTACATGAACTACATGTTGCTAAATCCACCGCGGAGAATAAACAGAAGGGCAACCAGGCAACCATGGCAACCATGCTCGCGGGGTCTTATCGCTGATTTTGGTGTATTTTGTGGCGGAAGTACAGCGCCACTTACAGGCCCGGCATATGTACTACTAGCGTCTCCAGCGGGTCGAGCGTTTCCGTGTGGACGGACACGTTTCTTGAGCCGTGTGGACGGAAGATTTTTTTATATCGAATTCGTCTCCGTGTGGTCGAAGTTACTAGTAATTTTGTAGATTTATTTGCAGTTACTCTACATCTTAATTGACACATATATAATAAAGTATTATAGGTTAAGCTACCCAGTAATATATCAAACAATTAAAGTGCAACAATAAAGTGATGAATACATAAATGTACGAATCATTTCAAACTTTCTTTTAAATATCTGCTGCTTAAAATATTACTTTTACTTTTACCATTTTTAGTGTTGGACTTTAACTTGTAACTGAGTATTTGTACCCTGTTATTTTGCTTCTTTTACTTAATGATTTGAGTATTTCTTCCACCGCTGACTGAAACAAACTTACTTAACAAGCTTTTACTAATTACTGAACAAGATATTCCTGTTTTACAGAGGGGTGATTGATTGTAAAATATATAAAACACAAGACAAAGAAAGGCATAACATTTAAAAACGTATTTCAAACATGGTCCCTGGTGATATGACCAGATAATCACACACATAATCAAAATCCCTGAAACAATACGCAAAGACAAACAAAGGACCAAGAGGGAAACAACAGAGAGGCCCTACTATGGTCCTTCTCCTGTAACTATAGGTCATGGTCCCCAGAGGATGAATAACATTTACTTTGGTAATCCTTTAAGTCTCAAAGATCTCCATTTCATTCTCTTTGCAAAGACAATTTTTAAAGGATGTGTTTTCAAATCTGACTCAAGCCACAGACAGAGATTGTAAAACTGCAAATACAAGCGCTTGTATCAGAGGATCAGTGTCTCTATTATCTATATATATATATATATATATATATATATATATATAGAGGCTTCAAAGCTTTTCAACATGTTAATGCTTCCAATACTATCAGCCTTGTCTACTTTGAGTTTAGTGAGCAAATACTAGGTGGTAAACATGGCGAACATAATGCCTGCTGAATATTTGCATAACAGTGGACCCGAGTTCAATCTCCTCTTCACGCAACAGTAACAAACAGCAGAAGGGCCTAAACGCGTTCCCTTCGAAGATCCAAACTGAAACTGAATGGAGGGGTATCAGCCAAACAAAACCGCCTTGTATTTAATTGTATTGTTAAAATGCTAAATGGTACTCGCATAATTAAGGATTAAGGATCCTACTTATAGCATGCATTAACAATTCTACGTATTTGAGTATTATGAACTTACCAAAACATATAAAAAACATAAAATGTCGCAATAAAACACAAGTTGGGCAGAATCGAGCCATAAAGTGAGCTTATTTTGGAGCCTGCACTGTAGGGAAAAACATTTTTAATGCACTGTATTTCTTCCTATTCTGCTCCTTTAACATTTGTTCTTAAAGACTACTGTAAATAAAAAGTCCCTGATGTCAAACTTCTTATGTTTAGAAGGAGGCCGATGTGAAGTCCCCAATGTTTAAATAGCCACTGTTCGTTTTCCCCATGCAAAACCAAACTCACTTCATGTGTTTCTAGCGTGTAAAGCCCGTGTTGCAGAACAACAATAAATGATCCTTTAATATTTGAATAGTGACTTTGTAGCATGCTGGTGTTAGCATTTGGCTCAGAGAACAGACTGTTGTTTCAGTAGCAGTTGATGTTACCGGTTTGGCACTCGTGTCTCGACATGCGCTGCAAAAATGTAAAATCTTGCCAAGTATATTTATCTAATTTCTAGTCAGAATATGTCGTTACACTTGATGTTTTTAGACCAGGCATCTTTTTAAGTCAAAGTCTCTTAAAAACATCTTATTTTATAGGAAAATCTCCAACTAACATCAGAAAACAGAAAATGTCTAAGCATTGCTGGCTTTTTTTGTTAGAAATTCCCTAATTCTGGTCAAATATAGTTCAAAATAAGTTTTCCCAGCTAAATATAAGATCTAATTAATTTAATTATCCCATCTTTACTGAAGCCATTTTGTTCAATTGGAAGACTTGTGCACTTATTAAAAGCGAAAACACCTTGTTTTTATTATATATTTACTTGCTTTTGGAGCAGCATTTTTTACAGTGTGTGTATATTGGTTTTCACCAGGACGCAAAAATTATCCACGTCAATTATTAAAACCGGTTTCCCTTCATGTTTATAGGTCCGTGCTGCATTAGACACTGTCTTCCATTAAATAATATGTTGACTGGAAAAACTGGGCAGGACTTTAGTAGCTCTGTACTGAACTGGTTTAAATGTTATCCTACTCTAAAGAGTCCTCTCCTGCTGATGTTCAGGTGTATATCAGTATGTAGTGTCTCTACTTTAAAGAGTCCTCTCCTGCTGATGTTCAGGTGTATATCAGTATGTAGCGTCTCTACTTTAAAGAGTCCTCTCCTGCTAATGTTCAGGTGTATATCAGTATGTAGTGTCTCTACTTTAAAGAGTCCTCTCCCTGCTGATGTTCAGGTGTATATCAGTATGTAGTGTCTCTACTTTAAAGAGTCCTCTTCTGCTGATGTTCAGGTTATATCAGTATGTACTGTAGTGTCTGTACTTTAAAGAGTCCTCTCCTGTTGATGTTCAGGTGTCATTTAAATAACTTGGAATACTTCTTGTTAGGGATGCTCAGATCGCACAATTTCGGGGCCGGAATCAGTATCGGCCGATACCGATCGCCGATCCGATCGAGTGGGCGGGGCCTAAATGGAAGATTTAAACATCACTTTAAATCTTCATTTAAAGTGAAGGTTTAAAACTCAGTTAATGGGGCTCATTCACTGGAGCTTCCACAAACAACAATCAACTTAATTATTACATCAAATGAGTGTACATTTATTCAGTTTACATTCACTTTGGAGAATAACACGGGAGAAATTAGCGGAAGCGCTCTCTTTTCTCTCTCTCTCTTCTCCTCTCTCTTCCTCTCTCTTCTCTCCTCTCTTCCTTCTCTCTCTCTCTCCCTGACAGGCCTGTCAGTATCTCATGCAGCTCACTGATCCAGTAATGAGTGACCCCGACAATGAAGAATAAATATATTTATAATAACTAGTTTAGCTGGTTCCAGAGGTAGATAAAATAGCTAAGTGTGTTAGGTCTAACTCTTACGGTACGTCCAGAGCCGTATAATAGAAGAGTTACGACATCTCCGTTCACTCCAATGGACCACTTTTTTACAGCAATGGCGGATCGTGGAGCCTCTCATTCGTTCCCCGGAAGTTAGCGCCAAGGCTAGCAGAGCGGTAGAGTTGCAGCATAATAACCGTTCGTGACGGACTTTTAAAGGTAAGAAGAAGTTTAAAGATTTATATTGCGGATATTATCAGTACATCTGATTCAATTGAACATGTGTATTAAAGGATGTCAGTGGATTATCCCTAAATCAGTAGATTTAGGGAACGTTTACAGATAACAGATCAAGCTAGGATACCGAAGCAAGTTAGCAACAGACGTTGAACAACCTTTTAATTGTAAATTCCGTTCTCTTAATGTCATTTCGTCCAACGTTGTTGAATTAGAGAAGAGGGGCTTCTAAACGGGATTGTATGCGGGGGTGGAGGGAGTTAAATATTAGATAAATATAACTTTGGTGCGTGTAAGAGTGAGTTTTTTAGCAGAGCCATATTGTGTCCTTGTGATTATGTTGATTATTACCTGCCTGTATAATGTTGCAGCTCAGCTGATTTTGGATTGATGGCAAAGGGAGAGGGACTTGAGTGAGAGTGAACACACAAGGTAAGTTTAATACTACTGTTTTATATAAGTAAGCATACTAAACATGTATTCTATCACTGTATTATATAAGTAATCTTGTTAGTAACCTACTGTATGGCAGGTGGAGGGGCAGTGATGTTACAGGTGGAGGAGCAAAACTGCAAGACTGCAAACTCACAAGACAGAGAAATCAAAGTTTGTTCTCCAGAGAAGAGGTTGATTTCACTTCAATTTTGTATTTCATATTTTCTAAAGATGTGGAAATGGCAACAAAAAAACACGTGAGAGCTGTAACCAAGACAACTGTAACAACAGGAGTAGAGAGCCACCAAGGTTTTTCAAGTCCCTCTCTTACTCCATTTTGCCAACCCAAACTTTCCAGGTACATGACGGGACACCTTGCTTGTTTTTGTTGTTTGCTCTCCTCTGGCTGGGTGCTGGCAGGTGGAGGGCAGTGATGTTGGCAGGTGGAGGGGCAGTGATGTTACGGGTGGAGGGGCAGTGATGTTACGGGTGGAGGGGCAGTGATGTTAGCTGGGTGCTGGCAGGTGGAAGAGCAATGTTTAGTCCAAATATTTCCATTGCAACGGCTAATGGAAATGATTGCAGCTGTGGATCTGTTTGGGGGTTGCTGGATGTGGTAGCTTGGCTGCTGTTGTTCCTTTTCACCTTTTTGGATTGGCTCTTGCTTCCAAAATGGCCATCTTTTAATTTTATTTTTTTTCTGTCATTTCTGATTTGTTTGGCCTCAATTCTCAGCCTCAGCCGTATGACATCTTTTTACGAGTTGTTGTTGTACTCCACAGCATGACGGAAGCCTGCTGGAGAGGGCCTGAGCTTCTTTCTCCAAGACACCCACTGCGTTGGGGAGCTGCATGAGGGAGGAACCAGTCTTGGTCCTAAATAGTTCCTCAATTTGGTGAATGAAGTCAAAGGCTTCTTGGGAGGGACGACAAAGAGCACCTGCCTTGAAGTCTTTCAAGTCCACTAACAAGCTGTTGTCACCAGAAGGACTCTCATCATGGTGCTCTGTTGCAATTTTGCATTTTTCACAGATGCTGGCAAACTTGATGATTTTGTGGACGATGTAGCCTGCAAGATGGAAGAGAATACATTTCTCAGTTTTTGTGAGGTCAGGTGCTGCTGCTCTGTTCACCGCCATCAGCTGTTCCACTCTGACTGATGGAGTGATTTTTGGCTCCCCTGTGTCATCCCTTCTTCCCTCAATCTTTGAGACTAATGTAAGTAGAAGACATGGCACTGTAAATGTTCGAACATTTAAAATATTATACCACTTAAAAATAAGAAATATTACTTTTGTTACTAAGAGTTCATACTTATTATACCTGTGTCACCTTTCACACTATAGCTGTGATCATGAGCTATGGGCTTTGTAGATACAGGTCCCGGGGTGAATCGTGGTGCAGGGGCCCTTCTCTTTTTGACCACAGGGCGATGCACGAAGATGGTGGGTATAGCCTCTGCTCTCAGCCTAGTCTTGCCCTTTTTTGTCTTGACAAACTGGTCTGCATCAAAATGTGCCTGCGGAGTGACTTGAGGTTACTTCACACACAGAACAACTGTGTCTGAATCTTGTCTGCCCACATACATATTCCATAGTGGTTGAATACACAGTATTAGGAAACACTTATACTTACTGGACATGTTATACTCATTACATACTGTATATAAAATATGACCAAGAATGTGAGACAACTTTATAGAAATTCATATCACATCTGTTACTGATGCCATTTGTCATACTTTGTTAAATTCACAAATAATAAAGTTCCATAACTTCAGTTGGGAACAAAGACCACACCTTATCTCCCCAAGGCAATTTCCCATCCAATAGGTGTGCTGTGTGTGTATAACCCTTTCTCCTGTCTGTTTATCCCTCTTTCAGCACAAGAACCAGAGGGGGATTCAATGGAGCCTGAATACCTGCACTGAGACCCTCACCCTGCACCCTGAGTCTCAACTCTGTGTTTTTCAAGCCTTTCCCTGTTTTTTTGTATTAAACAAAACATTAAGCGTTCCCAATGGTGTGGTTTTCGTTTTGTGAAAAAGTGCAAATGCAGTGTTTGTATATAATTACCTCACATATTTTTTTGCTGTTGGTCGTGAAATTGCTCCTGCTTCCTCCGCTCTGTGTCAGTGGGGAAGCCGTACATTCGTACTCCTTTCTCTGAGCGATTTGAGCATCCCCAGGCAGCACAGCAAACCATGGTGGCGACTAGGAGGCAGCACAGCAAACCATGGTGGCGACTGGGAGGCAGCACAGCAAACCAGGACAACACGGAGGAAAAGGCACAGACAAACTGCATGATATGCTATTCAATGTTTATTGAATTCCATGTATTTGCAATGGATGTTCCTAAAACAACACATTTAACATCATCATCATCATCATCATGCTGCTGCTGCTAGTCCTTTGATAGTCACCTGTCAGTCTCCTGTCCTTTCTGAAAGCCATAAAGATGACATTAGTCATTTAGATAACTTGTGTCCTCAATTACCATGGGATTACTGAAACTACCATGAATTTAAGAAAATGGTAGACATTAATCTAATCTGAATTTTAAAGCATTACTTTAGATCCCCCTCCCTCTAAATATATCAATAAACATTAGAAAGTGATGCTCCTGACTACCATACAAGTTTAAGAAGATAATATTGGTTTTAAAGAATTCAAAGCTATAAATAAACAGCAACAGGCTCTTTAACCAAGGCACTGTTAGCCTAACATGTAAACTAGTTGTTCACACTAATCCTAATATTATCACTTAATATTAGCAAATTCTATTTTATTTTTTAAAACATATTGATGTAAATACATACACATATCGATTTGTTGTATAAATATTGCAAATCAAAACCTTTATTCACTAATAATTACCAAAAATCGTAGTTCTATCTCCTGTTATCAGTGCATTCACATTGCCCGCCATGAACTTCCGGGGAACGATCCTCGTCTACATGAACCACGTGACGATAACCGTTTTTGGACTTCCGTTGTCGTAACTCTTCTATGATACGGCTCTGGGTACGTCCACACAGCAGCTTTTCAAAAATCTTGAAAATCTTGGAGCTGGGCGTGTCTGAAAGCTTGGGGATTTTTTGCGAGCAACGCGACCAACAACCAACACATGAATCTCCCGCCCCCGACATACAAAGCAAAAAAACCCGGGGATTTTATGCGAGCAATATATATATATATAAACTCCCCAAACCGGACGAAAACCTTACCAGTTTCACCCACTGTCTCTGCCACCTCCCTCCATGCCTGGTTCCTCCGGTTTGTATCCCGTTAATAGTTCTGGTCGTAAAGAACCGGGTGATTTGCTACCGTAATTTTTCGTTTGGAATATGAGGAAATGAACTGCGGTCTGGTTCTCCCTGTGTGTGTGTTTCGCTGCGCTTACCGGTCCGGCGGGCGGAGCTGCAGGATTTCTGCTTCACACACGTTGCATACCGCTATTTTACTGTCTTTTCGGACACCTTAAAATAATGCCAGACCGGTGAAGCCATTTTGGCGAGCTTGTTTTGCCGCACACAGAGAAAAGTGTCATGTATTTTACGTCATGCGATCGGCTCTCGCGATCGGCATGTTTAGAGAGCACCGATCGATCGGTAGAGAGTGAGTATCGGCCGATCTCGATCGGTGACCGATCGATCGGAGCATCCCTACTTCTTGTCTTTAGGTAACAACACATCTGATTACACAAATATGACTAGAGGAGTTCCTCAAGGCTCCATCCTGGGGCCTCTTCTCTTTAACATATACAAGCTTACACTTACGTAGATTTAAAAACAACAACAAATGATGTTATTTTATGCAGATGACACAGAAATGTACAACCATCTTACCAGGGAACTATGGTTCATTACAAGCACTAAGCAAATGCATTGAACAAATCGATGTGTTCGAACCATCTTTAAAACAAAGACAAATGATTGTTATTGGAGCCAACGAGGTGTGATTAAAAGTCAGCACTCCGCTTTAATCAGCTATTTTAAAAGCCACAGACAGGCCCAGAAGTCTAGGTGTAGTCATAGACTCAGACATCAATTTCAGCAGACGAGTCATCCTACTATTACCTGACCGATATATCCAGGATTGAAGTGTCAGCAGGATTTGGAAAAACGTGTCCATGCATTTATCTTCAGTAGACTAGTCGACAACTGTTGTGTTTTGGGGGATTTGAGGTCTTTGCACCGACTTCCTGTCCGTCAAATTGACTTTAAAATACTACCGTTTGTCTTTTATGCTCAATATATCTGAAACAAACTCCCAGAAATCATTGTATAGCACTGTAACTGTTATTAGTTTTATAGCCATTTTTTGTAAAACACTTTGATTTGACCTCTTGTTGAGATGTGCTGGCTCAGATAGATAGAAAGATAGACGGACGGACATACGGACAGACAGAAACACGGACAGACGGACGGACGGACATACGGACATACGGACAGAAACACGGACGGACGGACGGACGGACATACGGACAGACAGACAGAAACACAGACAGACGGACAGACAGACAGACGGACAGACAGACAGACAGACAGACGGACAGACAGACAGACAACGGACAGACAGACGGACAAACAGACAGACAGACAGACAGACGGACGGACGGACAAACAGACAGACAGACAGACAGACGGACAAACAGACAGACAGACAGACAGACAGACGGACAAACAGACAGACAGACAGACAGACAGACAGACAGACGGACAGACAGACGGACAAACAGACAGACGGACGGACAGACACTTAGAAATGTTTTTTTTTCACAGCAGCATTTTGACAGTAAATCTTCAGGAATCAACAAATCACTTAAAAAATAGAATAAAATATAAATAAAACATTGCGGTTAACAGTAAAACACTTTGATGTTACCTCTTGTTGAGATGTGCTTTACAGATAAATGTTCCCTACCTTGCAGACCTCTGGCTCAGAAGTGGACGGTGGTGCTGTTTTGGGGAACGTGCCTGCTGTACTGCGCCCGCATGGCGATGCCCATCTGCTCCGTGTCCATGGCCGCCTCCTTCCACTGGAGCAAGATCGACTCGGGTCTGGTGCTGGGGGGATTCTTCTGGGGCTACTGCTTCACTCAGATCCTGGGAGGACACATCAGTGACAAGTAGGGAATTAAGATGTCAAACGATAAGATAAGATTCACTTTATTGAGCCTAAATTGGGACATGAGCAGCATGTTAAAACAAGGCAGTGCACATCATTTGAAAAATGACGGAAAAGGATTGGGGCCACATGAAAAGAAAATGTGGGGATGTGAAGAAAATAAATGTGGCCCTAATCCTCTTGCGTATGGTACCGAGAAGTTGCAGTAGGCAGGAATGATTTCATGTACAGCTTTTTGATAACCTCTTCTCTGTGTGTTGCTTCAGGGTGGGAGGGGAGCGCGTCCTCTTCATCTCGGCCGCCTCCTGGTCTCTGATCACAGCTGTGACTCCTCTGCTGGCTCACTTAGGATCTCACACCCTCGCTCTCATGACCCTCGCCAGGTTCCTCATGGGACTCACACAGGGTGAGTCCTGTTCACGTTA